CGTGGCCTTTTACTCTCTCAAATAAATGTTAAAAAAAAAGAAAAGAAAGAAAAATCTAAATACAATAATTTTCTAGGTTTCTCTAGCTTTTCCTTGGTAAAACATTATTTCTTTCTTTTTTTTTTTTTTTTTGAGGGAGATGAGAGGGCAGAGAGGAAAATGAAGATATCAAGCAGGCTCCATGCTGAGGCTCCAACTTGTGGCTCCAAACCCACAGCCGGAATCATGACCTGAGCAAAATCAAGAAGTCAGACCAACTGACTGAGCCAACCAGATGCCCAAACCTGCATTATATGATGAAAATATTCTGTTAAAATTTTGAACATGCTATGTATTGTAAAAACAAAATTAAATTCCTCATTTTTTTTTTTTTTTTTTTTGGTCAGATAGAACATATCTTTAAAGCAAATGTAAATCTCAGTGTTCTACTCTCCGTTCAATAATCTTGATGTCACTAATCAAAATTTCCTAAAGGTGCCTCTGCAATTTTGAGGAATTGTCTCAAATCTAAGTACTGAGCACTAAGAAGGTATCACCATTCCTAGGCAAAGAAATTAGCATCAGAAGAAGAAAAGAAAAGAAAGAAAAGAAAAGAAAAGAAAAGAAGAAGAAAAGAAAAGAAAAAGAGAGAGAAAAAGATTAACATTCTGGAAGGAAGAGGAAGAAAAAGAAAAGAAAAGAAAAAGAAAAGATATGAATTCTAGAAATGTAGGGAAGAAGAAGGAAGAAAAGAGAAGAAAGAAATTAACATTCTGGAAGGGAAGGAAAAAGAAGGAAAGAAAAGAAAGAAGAAAGAAGAAAAGAAAGAAAGAAAGAAAGAGTGTATTCTCTGGGGAAAAGAAAAGAAAGAAAAGAAAAGAAAAAAGAAAAGAAAAGAAAAGAAGAAAAGAAAAAGAAAAAAAAAAGAAATTAGTTTCCTAGTTTTTCTCATCAAAAAGATAGTTATTAATCAGTCAAACCTTGAAAAAGATAAATAATATTTTGGACTTATAATTCTATGGACCAGACCTCTAAAGTGACTTTTCAGGTTCCATCGCTATGAGACCTCTTATAATAATCCTCCCTCTAGTACAGCGGTGATGGTCTCAATCCTCTTGAAAATCTAAAATAATTCAGTCTGGGGTTATACTGGGAATATATATATATTTTTTCAACAATTCCCCAATTGACTCTTAATGCAACCAGTGTTGAGTACACTGATCTCTCATAAGTCAACAGACATAATACATATTATTCAAGTTCTGGCTGAATTCTCTGGTAATCCTCATAGATACAGCCTGCAAGAATTTGGGGGTTGCTGAGCTGGCTCAGTAAGGTAGGCATGTGACTCTGATTTGGGGTTGTAAAGTTTCAAACATTCTGGATCTTAGAGACATTACCCAAAAAATAATCTCAAAAGCAAAAACAAAAAAAAACAAAACAAAAAAAAAACCCCCCAAAAAAAAAAAAAAGCATAAAATTTGTGAAAACAGAATTTTTATATTTCCTTTTGATTAGTCTGAAATCAAAGAACTTTCTTTAAAAGAAATATGGGTTATTTCCACAAAACCACTTTAGTTATTCCTTTCTCTCAAAGCTAAAATTCTATTACATCATTTTATTAATTAAAAAAAAAATTTTTTAGAGAGAGAGAAAGAACACAAGCATGAGGGGGGGGGGGGGGGGGGGCAGTGAGAGGAAGAGAGATTCTTAAGCAGGGCTCAGAGTATGGCACAGAGCTCAACACAGGGCTCTATCTCAAGATTCTGAGATCATGACCTGAGCCAAAATCAAGAGTAGGATGCTTAACTGACTGGATACCCAAGGTCCATTAAATAATTTTAAAAGAATTTTTTATTCCAGGGGCACCCCAGCTCACGCTCTCTCTCAAAAATAATAATGGTGATAAA